CTGCTGATGAGTGGTGACGCATAAAATCGTACCAGATCCATCTTGTGAAAATGAAGTAAAAGTTAAACTTCACCAAAATTCTCAGTAAGCTTTTTTTAAATTACCTTAAAAAAATTAAAATTTAATTTAATTTTACAAAATCAATTTAGAAGATAAAAATTGTTTCTTATTTATATATTTTATAATATTATCTCTCGTTTGTACATAAATATGATTAATTAAAAAATAAACATTTAAAAGATTAAAAAATATTTTTTATCGTCAAAATTTATATGAAATAGAAAAAAGTTGTTTTTATTATCAAATAATATGTTTACGGTTGTTGACTATTTTTAATGTATGCATTTTCTCACACATATAGTCTGCATAAGGTCATCTGTAATAAGAGTGATTAATCCCAAGAGGTGTTTAGTTACATCTCTCCTTTTAAAATTTATTATTACGTGGAGAATCATCTAAGATCAAGAAATTTTAGAAGCACTATAGCTTCTGATCTTTTTAATTAAAGATAACTATTATAATTGATGGCAAAACTAGGTGAAGAGGATTGATTTTCTTCCCTTGGCTTTGCTCTGGCCACTTGATCTTCTCCTTGAAGCAAATCTAGACTTCAAACTCCAGAATTGATGAAGATGAATTTGCGGAATAGAATGAGATGGAAGCACCAATGCCAAAGGAGCAATATATTGCTCACAAATTGGCTAAACCTAGAAGATGCTCTAGGAACCTTAGAACTAGGCGTGAGGGATGTAACAACCCAATTTTTACTGGGCCAAGAGCCCAATTAAGGTGGTTTAGTAGCCCGAAACGGGCCGTTCCAAAATTGGAACGGGCCGTTCCAAATTATTAAATAGACCTACTTTTGGTAGCCCGGAACGGGCCGTTCCAAATTATTAAATAGACCTACTTTTGGTAGCCCGGAACGGGCCGTTCCGGATTTGGAACGGGCCGTTCCAAACCATTAAATTTGCCTATGATTCTTAGTTGGGAACAGACCGTTCTCAACTGGAACGGGCCGTTCTGAAGTTCAGAAATGGCCTTTGAACCTTATTGAGAACGGGCCGTTCTGGTTTCAGAACGACCCGTTCCAAAATATGATCGTTGAGAGCTTTTAATGCAAACCCCAGAACGGGCCATTCTGGATGTGAATTTTACACATGACGTGAGATTTCAGAACGGGCCGTTCCAGATTTGAAACAGACCGTTTCGCGAATCCTGATGCCTATAAATTGAGTGCTCTAGCACTCCCAAAATCATATTTTTCAGTTCTGACTTCTTTCAGTTCTGATTTCTTTCTTCTACATTCTCTTCTTTCCCTTCTACACTCTCTGAAGACCGAGGGGCACTTAGAGAAGGAAACCAAGAGATCTATGTTTTAGTTTCAACTGTTGTTTATCCAGGTACAGGGGAAAAGGAGATTATTTATATGTGGAGATTATTTATATGTGGAGATTATTTATATGTAGAGTTACATGAGGGAATTGGGTAGAGGAAGAGCCCTTAGGATTATGAGTAATTTTATAATTATTTCTATTTGGAGAATTATTGGTTTTATGTGATTCTGTATGTATTTAGGACTATGAATATATGATTAATTTGTAAAAATGATGCTCTGGGGGAGAACGAAATTATAGAAAAGTGTCTGTAAGCTAGATTTTGGAAAAATTGGATTATTTCTGTTTGAGGAATTGATGATTCCATTAGATTCTGTATGTGTTAAGGATTAGAAATATATATTTAATTTGTAAGAATGATGATCTGGGAGAGAGAACGAAATTGTAGAAAAGTGTCTGTGAGTTAGGTTTTGGAATAATTGGGGGTTTTACCATTTATGTTAAGATTATATTAAATTGGTAATTCCATTGATTATTATATTAATTTATGAATGTTATTGTTATATTACTTGATAAGAATTGATGACCTAGATGTGAATTGCTCGAAGGGTGTGTAAACCCTTATTTTTGTTGGACTTATCTATTGTGTATGTGATATGGAATTGTGTATGTAATATGGAATTGAGATATGAGATGAGATGTTGTATGAATATGATTATGATTGTGATTGTGGTTCCTCACACTAATGACCAGGGATGAGACGAACCTTGAGTAGTGATGCTTCAAGGACGAGCGTGCCCCTGGCATGGTGTGAGATGAGTGAGACAAATAACACGCATCACTTATGTCAAATATGGCAGCCCTGACATAGGGTTAATTGCAAGACTTGTGTGGATTGTAATGTGATTGTGGTTCCTCACACTAATGACCAGGGATGAGACGAACCTTGAGTAAGTGATGCTACAAGGACGAGCGTGCCCCTGGCATGGTGTGGGATGAGTGAGGCAATTAACCCGTATCACTTGTGTCAGATGTGGCGTGGCCTTGACATAGTGTTAATTGTAAGATTTGTGTGGATTGTGATGGATTGGTGTAATTGTGAATTGAGATGTGAAGATGAATGATTGATAAATTATGATATATAGAAATACTTGTATGAGTTATGATTATGTTGTGTTTTTCCTTGTGTGCTTTTCATATAAATGTTTTCTTTTCTCACCGTACAATTTGTGGATATTTTAGGTGAGGAAGATCCAGCTTTGGGTGGCATCTAGAATGTCAACCGTTGAGTTGTGGGTGTGCTATGATATTGTGACATCGGGGCAGAAAATTCTAGGATAAATTTTTATATGTATTTAGAGTTATACCTTCTCTTTTGAAAGCAATTTGTAAACTCTCAAGTTTTACTTTCTAAATTTCATTTATAATTATTTTGGTTATTTATGAAGGTTTTATGTGAACCCTTTTACCAACGTTGAATATTTTATTCTTTAGTTTATTACAAGATTTATTTATATATGTATTGGGGTAGTAAGGGTGTCACAAGGGACTTTGAGGAGAGAAGAATGTTGAAGCAAATATTCATATTTCTCTATAATGATTCAAAGTGAATACACAAATGAGTGAAATGCTATCTATAGGTCCGAAAACAAGTTCATTGGCGCCAAGTTCCAAAGGCTCACAATTGGTGCCAAGAATTCAAAATTCAAATAGAATTTGAATTCAAATTCTTGGTGGCCATGTGCAGCTCCGTGTAACTGGGTGTGCCAAGCATCTAAGTGTCATTTGGAAGGCATTTAGGGTGCATTTAGACGTGCACATGATCAGCCACACTTGGCTTAAAACATGTGACTCAAATGCACCTTAAATGACTACTAAATGAAACCTAGATTTTAGTTTCTTGACCTATTTAGTATTTCATCAATAATCTTACTCTAATGGCCTAAATACAATGGCCAACCAAATACAATCAATAAGAAATAAATAAAATAAAAAAATGAGCCCAATATTGGGTACTAATAGCCCGAAGGCCCAAAAAGCCCAAAACTAGACTTATGAAGCCTAAGGCCCAAAATCCTATTCTAAGTGGTCCAAAATACAAGACCAAGAAATGTAAATCCTATACTACTCAATAAAGAAAATAACATGGTGATCAATGTAAAGCCCATGTGAAGAGTACCCTGGGCCCACCAAGCTCATTGGGTCCACCAAGCTCTGAAGCTGTCAAATCTTCAAGCAACCTCCTGGCCATAGCTCTAATGGTTGGACCCTTGGTCCATGCTCTTCCATCATCCCCCCCTCTTGAGAAGGATTCGTCCTTGAATCTAAAGACTCATTCTCATCATCACTAGCTCTTACAAAAGATTTTAAATCACTCACATTAAAAGTAGGACTAACACCATATGTACATATCGGTCCCAATTAAGAGTCTAAAAGCCCTAAAGTGGTGCGGTGAAAGAGAGTGTACATGACAAAATACCCACTAACCCAAAGATAGGTTCACTAGTTATTAATAAGTTAAAATTTATTGAAAAAAAAAATTTGGTGAGTCATACCCTATTTAACAATTTTTTTCTTTTAATTTTGTGATTTTCAATAAATTTTAATTAATGAAGTAGGCGTGTTAAGAGGAGTATGATTGTTTTGTTAACAGTTTTCTTTGATTTATTTTTGTAGTTTTTTATGAAAACACACACACACACGTGTATATATATATATAGAAAATAGAGAGAGAGAGAGAGAGAGATGATGGATCCGTTTACTCTACAAGTAAGTCTACCTAGACTTACTCCGTTCAATAATTGGTGCTCTACATCAAATTTTAACGATCCAATTGTTGAATTTAAAGTTTTTAATGCATAGATCAAATCTGCAAATTTTAAAAATATTTAAAAACTATTTAATACTTCGTTTCATTAATTCAAATCAATGTATAAAATAATTTTATAATTATCCGTCAATTTGAATTAACAAAATGAAGTATTAAAAACTTTAAATTTAACAGCTGAATCGTTGAAATTTGATCTAGAACATGAGTTATTGAACGGAGTAAGTCTAGGTAGACTTACTCCTGGAGTAATCGAATCCCTCCTCATATGAGACAATAATTCATTTTACATTAAGTTGGGTGGATTTGTATCGAGGAATGCACTAAGCCATATAGCTTATCGATATGATTAGGTTAAGACCATTGGTATTGATAGTTCTATATGTGTTTGCACAATTCAAACTACACATGGTTTACCATGTGCATGTGAGCTTGCTAGATATAGTACAATGTGTTATCCAATTCCCTTACATACAATTCATATTCATTGGAGGAGGTTAAATTTTGGTGACCAAGGGAAAAACCATGAAGGTAACGTGTTAGCGCTACAACCTTATATAGATGTTTTGCTAAAGCGTTTTATGGAACTTGATTATGTTGGAAAAGTAACTATACTTGAAAAATTGTGTGAGCTAGCATTTCCTAGTACAACTTCATTGTGCTTACCTCCTAAAAAGGTAAAAGCAAAGGGTGCA